CGGTGCCAGAAGCTACCGCCGTCCCCGGAGCCCAGAAGAAGCCAATGATCTTGTCCAAGGCGGGTCGCTTGCCCTCGGAAATCTGTTGCAGGACCACCTGTTCTGTGTAGGTTGTGGGCGTGTAGAAGGAGGTGCCCAGCGGGTTTGTCCTGAGTTCCAAAGCCAAGACCTCAGTCGTGGGTGCCGGTTTCGCCCAGGCAGGTGCCGTGAGCGGGCCCTGTCGCAGTTCCCACTCTCCGCCCCAGGCTCTGACTTCACCTTTGTGGTACTGCAAGATGGAGTCAAGGATTGCGTACTTGCGTTCCAGGCTGTCCGGCGGAAGGAGTCGTGCTAACTGGGCCTCTTGGGAAGATATCATCTCCGTCCCCGTGGTGTACATGTCGAGTTGTGTCTTGGGGAACTCCGTCATGAGGCGGTCTTGGGAAAGCGGAGGCTTGTTATCCTTGATGAGTTCTTTCATTCGGAGGTAGGGTTGCTTCAGTGCCTCCATGTCAAATTGTTCCGGGCCCTGAGGGCCCATGGCCGGCGCGAAGAGGTTGTTCTGCCATGCTTCTTGCAGGGCCGGTGTCCACAGTGAAAAGGACGCCACTTCAATGGGCTTGAGGGCCTTGCGTCGATCCCTGAACTCTGTGTCCAGTGCCTTGTTGGCGGCTGCCGCTCTCTCCTGTGTGGTTTGGGCCGCCACCAAAGCCTCGTAGGAGGAGGTGAGGCCACTTTCTTCATGTTTTCTTTTGAGGTAGGACCTGAACTGCTGGAGGTCAGCGTGGCGGAGCATCTTGGCACTGACCGGATTCTGGGTTTCCTGTGCACCCTGCTGGATGGCAGTCAGTGTATGCAGCTCATCATCCATCGCCACAGTCTCTTGCTGGTGTTGAATTTCCTTCTTCCTCCGCTTGGCCTCCTGTGCCGCTTCCGTAAGCTCTTCTTCTGGGGTGGCCAGCAAGTCCACCTTGAAACGCATCAGTTCAATGGTCTTGGGGTGGAAGATCACAGCAGTTTGAGTAGAGTCTCGATCATCCATAGTGGGGGGGCGTTCGCCATCTGGATGAAAGATATCGTCCTGCCCAAAAGCCACCACGTGCTGCTGCAGTGTCATGCGCTGGGAGGCAGGAACTTGCTCCGAAAAGCTAACCAGCCCCGTATCGGCGCCCGAAGCTGCCGCAGGGGGAGGTCGGCCAAGATCTCCCACTTCCACAAAGCCTGAGGCCTTAGTAACCTTAGTATCTGTGGGGACCCAAGTCGGTCCCGCCTCAGTGAGCCTAAGTTGCCAGGACTGGCCGGCCACCTCAATTACTGACAAAGGTGCCATTGACAGGTCAACAGGCTGAGAGCCTTGACAAAGCAAACATTTGGATAACTGACCCCACGGTGCATTGCAATCAGAACAGACTAATTGCGGAGAAGTTCCAGGGTCCTTCTCTTTCAAATTCACCATGGATCCCCCACGCTGAGTGGTGTGCCGGAGTTTCAACATCTGTGTGTGGACAGCCTCGCGCTTCGAAATGTGGTAAACCTCTGCGATCTTGACCACCAAGGATGCCGTCCATGGAGAACTGCGGAAAGCATCCAAAAGGGAATGCAGCTCACCATGCGTAATGTCTCTGAAATACTTGGCAGCCGAGTGAGGCAGGGCCGGAATCAAAGGTGCCCAGCCTTCGATGGTGAAGGTCTCTGTGGTCGGATCCATGTGGAGTGTCAACGTCTCCTTCTCTAAGGCCCGTGCTGTCTGGGTCTGAATCTTTGCCTCTGCATGAACGAACCCCGACGGGGGTGGCCCACTTGACGATTCCACACTTGTCTCCAGCTTGGGTTCCAAACCCAAGTTTGCCATCACTTTCTCCATCTCATGGAGCTGCGAAGCCAGAGTCTCCCTGGTGATGGCGGGATCATCTTCAATCTCTGTCGTAACCTCGGCCGGCGCAGCCTCGGTCCCCTGGGTGGAAAGAACCATGTAATCATCCCCTGCGTCCAACTCCGTCCCAATCAACGAGAAGGAGCCCACGGTGCCAGTCTCGCTAGCCACTGGACTAGAAGCCGCCATGGACAAAACAAAAGGATCGGAGCGTGTTTTTCGAAAGTATTGGATCGCAGGGGGAACAGCTTGAGCCATAGCCATTTTGGCAACTATATCGTCAACACATTACTTGCTCTCCACAAGTTCCAAGCAAAGAAACATTTTTTTTGTTTTCTTTGTTTTTTTTGTGTTTTGGTTTTTTTTTTTTGGATTTGGGTTTTGTTTAGCCATTGCAGAAAAACCAAGCAGATATTGTCAATGGTTGCAAAGCAGTGAGAGAACCATGGCACATGTGCAGTGTCAGTGGTTGCAGAATGCAGTGAAAAACCGAACTCCCAGGGTGTCCCCTTCTGAAAAAAAAAACTAGTGTTGTTTTGTTCAAGTGACCCGGTGTCTCAGTTCTTCCAATTTTGCAGGATACCGCACAAACTGTTGGAGACAGCAGGTGGTCAGAAATGGTCTCATATGGATTCACCAGCCATGTTACCAACCAATCATCCAAATATCTCGGCAGCCTCCACTTGTGACGAATCACGTGGCATAGGAATGGGTTGATGTCCGTTTTGCCGTGGTGTTTGTCCTCGAGCGACTCGGACCTTGGGAGGCTAGCTGCCAAAAGGAACTGATGGCATAAGCAGAAGCGTCAACCTGCGTAAACATCAAAAATGGTTGGAAAAATGGATGTTCATCTGGTACTACAGGTGTGGACCCATCCCGGTTTTTGGACTGAAATCGAGCCCAGCATTTGGACGAACATGGGCGTGATGTTTCTTTTGCATCCAGTTCGGACAGAAAACGCAGAGCATTCGCCAAGTGACTCTATGATTTCTTGGCACCACGCAGCCAGCTGGATTTCTTCGGCAAGAATGGACACCTGCGGACCAGCTGGAGCGAGCCAACAACACACCTGTTTGAACACACCTACGTGCGTGCGTGTTTCTATACACAAAAACACACTAAACACACATACCCCATTTGAACATTCTGCACTGGATATATGTATGTATAGAAGCGATGGTAGGAGAATATCCGTGGTTTTGGTTGGGTTTGCATCGGTTTGGCTTATGTGCAAACTCATTTACGTATAAATGTTCATACTTAAAGCAAAAATATGTATTCCCCTCGATTGAGCCAGCCAAGCACGAATAGGAGAATATCCATGGTTTTGGTTGGGTTTGCATCGGTTTGGCTTATATGCAAACTCATTTACGTATACATGTTCATACTTAAAGCAAAAATATGTATTCACCTCGATTGAGCCAGCCAAGCACGAACCTAACACTGCAAAACCGTGCTTGGCTGCGGGGAAAAGTGGTAGAAAATGAAGGTTTAGGGGTAAACCCATGTTTTTCGGGGTAAAACCAAGGGTAAAATCAAGTTTTACCCCAATATGATTGGTAAAACCAAGGTTTACCCTCAAGCCCAGGAAATATCCTGGGTTTAGAAGCAAAGGAGACATATTGTATGCATAACACATTTGTGTCCGTGTGTGTGCATAGCTAGGGTAGGTCAACAAAAATAAACCCAATATTCCCCGGGGGTCTTAGTTTCGATGCAAAGAATGCCTACATGCCCCGCCTTTCATGGCAAGGGGAACTGTCACGAAGACCTCGACGCAAATGAGCCCGCAACCAGAACTTCTCATCAGTGGATCCAATCACTCTGTTTGGACTCCAACCGTGTCAACCCATCATGGGTTATCACAAACTCGCAGTAAATACATTGCATAAAAAAGCTCCTGGAGATTGTCAACATATTGCAGTTGATCCTTTGGAAATGGACCGGTTTCGATCCTGGACCTGGAATTCCTTCAATGTAACATCAGTACTGGCTGGCTGAAACTCTTCCTCAGGTGAAAGGATTACTGTATTACTAAATTACCTTCAACAGTAGTTGCAAATCAAAGTAAGGAGAAAATCAGCATAGATGCAGATGTAGATATAGATGCAGAACGGATATGGATATGGAATTTGGTTGTAGATGTTGATGTAGATTCGTAGATGCAGATGTAGATATAAATATGATATAATTTTAAATATAAGTTATAAGTGTAAATTCAGTGTAAATGTAAATATCAATATAAATGACATTTCTATGCCTGCTCTGAAATTGTCCTGATGAATTTTAGACTTGTCTATCTGCGGCTTCCCCACTCCAGGCGCCAATGGTGCCGTCGGGTGTGCCATGGCGCAGCATGACGCGGATGTGGTCGGCCGGGTTCGGGTTCGGTGGAAATGGGCGACGTCCGGGTGTGCCATGGATCTGATACCATGGAGGATACCGGGATATAAAATGGCCATTAAATTTTTAGAACATGGAAAATGATGGGAAAATGATGGGAAAACGACGATTCAGCATGAAATTTTGGGGTACCCTATGGTACCCTAGTGTCAGACAAATCAATATTCCATGAGATCCTGCAAGCTGGAGAGGTCTGCAGAGGCCTGCGCAGCAGATATCATACTACTTTGGTGGTCACGCCACTGCACTTGATCCAGCCAGCTTTCACATCGCCAACAACCTACAGCAGTTCCTGCCTATTTGTTGTCCCTCTCTGGAATAAATCTGGCAGTTCACTGATTCACCAGAGCCTTCATCCCATCAGGATGTCAAAAGCAGGATCTCTTTACATCGATATGTAGTCATAAGTCGTAAGATGTATATAACCGTGTAGCCCTCCACAGGCCCTTTCTGAAAGAGGCAGCGGCCCTTTCTTTTTCCACAGGTGTCTCCGGCGTCTTTTAAAGTCCCACCTTTTCAAACGCCTGCGGAGTGAAATCGCTGAAGCAAGGGCTGGTGGGCCGACTCCAGCCATCCAAAGAACATGAAAGCTTGTTGGAATATGTTGGAATCATGCCAGGCTTTCAATGCTTTCACACTGATGACCTTTTTTGAATCAGAAAAATCATGCCGAATCATGCCACAAACAAATGAACACCACCAGCCATCGTTCCTGGTGAAACACCACCGCCATGAATGGGGCATTTCAGGGCGCCGTCACCGCTTCCGCTGGGCCAGGACCCAAGGAGGCGACCTGCTACAAGATTCATCCAACATCCCCCTATAGTAACCCCAAAAAAAAAGAAAAGTATGGAAAAGTTTCAGTTACATCGTTTCTAAAAGCATTACCATATCATATAAATATACATAAGGATTACCATATTATATAATATATAGATGTATATATTACTTATATTATATTCATATTGCATTACTCCCTTAGAAACTCAGTACTGCATCGGATCGTGAAAAGGCCCTCTGAGTGAAGCGGTACTTCATTTTTTTGGGAGGGGATTTTTTGTGAAACCATCCCTATAGGCCCTATATTATTTTTTAAAAAAATGTCTTACCATCTGGGGTTTTCAATGGTTTTCATGAACCATATGAACCTGTGCAAATTCGGGCACACGATTCGACGATACAGTTTACCACATTGTAATTGATGTGGCGTGGGATGTGCGACAATTGACAAGTGTGGAGTGTCAAAGTGGGGTCAATTCCATCACCATGGTGGGATCCGGTCCGACAACTTGGTGGATTTGGCCGGTCCTCAGCTTTTGGAGGCACCCGAATTGACGTCCCTGAAACTACCATCTCCCGGAAAAAGACTCCAAGCAAGGCGAGGAGATGCGAGGAGTCTATATGTTCTCCTCTTACAAATGTCATCAAATGTCTCTCCAAAGGATATACGTTTCACCGTTTCACGTTGCGCCATGCCGCCAATTACGCAGATTCTGGCCTGATCCACAGGCAACACATTCACTGGAGCTGATTCTCTGGGCTCCTCACAGATGCACCAATCTCTGCCGTGATCCGTCTATGAGCTGAGGTAGAAGCAGGTTCCAATGTTCACACCCCCCAATTGCTACACATAAGATCACATAGGTCTAGTTTTATCTTTACCCTGCAGCAACGCTATGGAGAATCACAATTTTTGATAGGTAGGTAATCTATGAGTGAGCCGTTTTCCATAGCTGTGTTAGATTATCAAATGGTAAAATCATGTAAAATCTCAAATCTCTACAGCTCAGCCTCCAATCCAACCTTCCAAAGGCCACGCTCCTCTTTGGGTGGGCCTGCTTCAGCACCTTTGATGCGCTCCAACTCTTTCTTCCCAAGCTTCCTCGGCAACAGTCGGTAACATGTAACCCGCTAGATTCGGCTAGATTGGGATTTGCATGTGGGACATTGCCATAGATTGCCATGATTGGGTTGCATGGTCAACTTGCGAGGTATGCACTGTGTGCACCATATTATTTCATCTGCCTTTCGGGTTCGCAATGCCTTAATGATTAGACCCCCGCCCGCAGCCACTTCCGAGCCCTTTTTCGAACATCTCCCCCAGGAGTTTCTGCAAGTTCCACTGTACAGTCCATCCATCTGCCATTTGCACCATCATGTAGAGTCGGCCGGGAGCCGGCCGTCCTCAGCCAGGTCCAACCTTTGGGATGTCAAAGTGCTCAGACAAGCTGCCCAGATGGGCATTCAACTTGTCCATCCGCTGGCGATGCGTGTACTGGATGGCTTCATTGATCCTCTGATTGCTGCGTTTCTCGCGGGCTAACTTGAAAGTCTTCTGAGCAGTGGTAGGGCCTTGGGTGGCACCCTTAGTGAGCTCAGCCTGTTCCTGCAATTCCTGATCGGCGTTGGCTTGCAACTGCTCGGTCAGAACATCCTCTTGGGTCTTCTTCTTTTTCTTGGCCACCTTGACTCCCACCTCTTTGTTCTTGTCCCCGCCCTTCAGCTTCAGGCCTGATTTGATCACTGCGTCATATTTGCCAGATGAAGACGAAGACGCCATCAAAATTGGCACATCCACAAAACCACTCAAAACCACCACAGGATGCACAAAGCGGAACGGATGGCACACAGCTAAATATACTCACTATATCTCACTATATTGTATGTGCTAGGCGGCATGTGCATCACTTGTCTTGACTGGCTGGTTTCATTCAAGCCCATGTTAAGCTTTCAGGTGAGGGCTCACATGCTCAATGCTCTCTGTTTGATCCAGTGACCCGTGCTGCGTGCTTCTAAATTTGAGCCAGGACGATCAGCCGGGAATCAGCCAGGTCCAGGCGTCAGGTCCATGGCAGTGTCAACGTCTTCCAAGTACCAGGAAACCAAACCATGCTGACCACATCTGACCGCACTTGTACACATGTTCAACATGCAGCCTAGGCACTCTCGTCTAACCAGCGTGTCCTCAGCTGCCAGGAATCATGGCTCTATGAAAGGTAGCAACCACTGTCCGAAGTTCCTAGAAGGGTGAGGAAGTGCAGACCAGCGGCATTCAAATATCCAACTCTCTCAATGTCACCAGATGCCAGGTACATCATCCCTTGCACCCTCACCCCATCACGCCATTCCTTGGCCACGGCGAAGATTTCTATCCCGTTGACGGATTGCGGCGATTACAGGTGGTTTGACCATGTTTCACCAACTAAATAACACATATAACACCCATCAAATCACCGCAATCCCTGAGGGTCTACAACTTTCGGCTGCCTGCCGCGGCAACGACACAAAGTGCCACCTCGCGGCGCCGACAAAGCTGTCGCCGGTGCGCTCGTACACACACTTCCTGAGCTGGGTCACTTCTCCAAAGACCCTGACGACTGGATGGTACCATGTATAACCTGACTTCCCACAATGGAACGTGTTTAAAGGGAGCAAAACAGTTGCTGTTCATGTCACATGTCCCTTTTCCATGCCACCAATTCCAGAATTTATAGGATAAATTGGCAGGAGAGTGTCCTATTTATAGCAAAATTAGTGCGAACCCAAGAATTTCAAGTTAAACATGCCTCTATCCCATCCCATAATTATTATACAGTAGTTGGTTCATATGCATCTATATGTTTCGTCAATTCATAATTTCCAATTTCAACCACTCTTATTCAATGGGAATTCCAGGATCCTAAAATGGCGGTACTGTAACATATAAGGCCATATTTTGCAGGGATATTCCCTTACATAGGCCTTTTTTTTCGGCCTTATATATGGTAGGTACCTCCAATCAATCGGTTCCTGAAAAGGGCGCCAAGGCTCCCTTGCCCCGACCTCAGACCTTCCTGGAACTGGCCTACATAGTCGCTCTGCTCCTCGGCGGAAGGGATCCCAATCAACCATCCTCAATAGAGGGTTATTGTTGCGTATAACCCTGTTTGGGATGATTTAAAAAAAATATATATATATAATATTTGAAGTGACCCCCAAATGGTTGGTTAATGCAATGGTCGACATCTCTCCTGTCATCTTTCCAATGGAGGTCTCTTGTATGCGTGCCACCCACATCATTGACTGTTCATGCGAATTCTTAGGGTCCAAACGGTAATCAATTTGGCACTATGCATCCTCAAACACATTTTAAGTTTGGCTCGAAAATGAGGTTCCAAAGGGCCCTTGAATTTCATGTTAGAAATCCCGGTTTAGTACGTGTTGGATCTATGCATTTTGCTTTCCTCTGTCTGTACTGTATGCAATATGATGCATTTCCTGCGGGGAAGGGATTGCTTTCACGAGCCAATCTGTGTCTCTAAGTCCGGCTCATCTGCATTGTGAAGTTTCCCGGATCCTTCCGGGATGTCAGCCTTCAAAGCAGGATTTTGCTCAACCACTGTTTTTTTTTTTGCACTGTTGCAGATCACGATTTCCAGGGCTCCAAACACCCCAGGTACAAGGGTGGTAAATTAAGTAAGTATAGAGGCAAAACGACCAACCTACCCCCCTTGTGGCTATCATTTATGGTGGGTTGGAGCAACCCTGAATCGATCCATCGCACATCCATGGCACATTGCAACAGTCGCACCTTGAAGTCACCGTCGTAACAGCTGCCGTTGGGCAACCTCACCACATGAAAGATGGGCGCTAAGCAGAGAGATGCTGCCATGCCCTGCCTGTAGGATCCATGGCCATGTCGAGCATCATTGAGCCAGCCGCCGCTGTATTGGGCACCATCACCAAAGCCCATCTGCCCCTGGAGCAGAGAATCTGCTGAATAGATCTGAATAGTGGTTTGTCATGGTTTGTCATGTTTTCTCCAAAAATCAGGTTCTGCAAAATCCAGTAGTTTATTATCATGTTCACCTTGAAAATTACCATTTTGGAGCCACGTTCCTTGGCACACCCGAGCCTGACCGTGCCGCATGTCATCTGCCCAGTTGCCATTGTAAGCCTTGGCAATGCAACGAAACATGTGCATGCCGGAGTGGTCATTGAAACTCTAATCGCCGTAAACTGTTTGATACCTCCACCAGTAATGAGTTCCACCGATCATCTGACATTGCATCGTGTTTGTAGGACATGACTTTCCATGATAGGCGCCAAAGTTCCAATAAGCCAAACACTTGTCGCATTTCTGAAATAGAGCAAGCTATGAGCAAGATTGAGCAAGCTGTGTAAACATGGTAAATATGGAGAGCACCACTCTTGCATGACTACTATCAAATACTATCAATACCATTCCCCCGACTGTCATAGACCAACTTTAGAGTAAAGTCTTGCACCGCCCGACTCATGGCAGCGACCATTGAGGGACCCGGAGGGGGGTTAACTGCAGAAAAGCGGCTGATCCATCCGGGTACTTCATGAGCCCCTGGCAGGGGGGGCCTATCGATCTATCAAGCTATAGAGCGATGGATCTATCTATCCAAACCACACCACAACACTCCACCCCCCCACTCTGCTCTACTCTGCTATGCTATGCTGTGCTCTGCTCTGTGCTCTATGACTCCACTCCACTCCACTCTACTCTGATCTATATAGTTGTTTTTCTTCGAAGATCACTATCAACTCCTCTGGGTGAAAGTCCGCCTTGCCCGTTGGCTTCCCACCCGCTGCCTGTCCATGTCTGAGGTCTGCTTCCCATCGGCCCTCATAGACGGCGCCATCGTGATAGGTGAACTTCCCATAGCCGTGGCGCATGCTGTTCAACCAGCGGCCGGTGTAGGATTCCTTTTTGGCATAGTAAAACCTCATCTCTAGCCATGTGGTAAACCCAATAAATCGGGGGAATTATGGGCTGATTGTTCGATCACACTTGGGATTATCATAGACCATCTCCAATATCATCAGAAAATTATGTAAAAATCATCCCCAAATGATCCCAAATGCTAGGTTTCTCATTGGTACCACATGACATGTCCACAGAAATGCACCCAACGCCCAGAGCCTTGTGTCACTCCACGGTGCTTGTGCCATGCCAGTAGCGTTGATCAATGGCAATGTAATTGGAATTCCCAAAACGCCCGAGCGTTCGCCAAGCAACGTTCCTTCTCCTTGCATCATGCCTTCACAGAACTCACCTTCGTAGAAGCCGCCATCTGCGCAGTAGTAGGTGCCTGACCTGAAAATTGAAATGGGAGCCCTGCCCCGGTGACGTAACGCTTGTTTTATTTATGCACGTTTTTGTTTGTTTCTTTTTGAACATCAAATTTCTTGGAGTATCCAGCACCCTTGGCCAGCCCTTCACTGAGGCGGGTGCCCATGCCGAGCTCCGCGTTTGAATTGACCTTCCTGGGCGTCTTCCGCAGTGGTGGGAATGCATGGTTTGAAATTGGCCGGGTATCCCAAATACTGCATAGGCCCGGATGGTCACAATAAAGCAGCCTATGTAACCTCTGCCCCCCCCAAAAAAAGTGGCCTGCAGGCTTTTCAAACTATGACCCCCTCTGTGGATCAAAGCTTTCCAGGTTCCTCTCTTGCTTGGCCCAAAACTGCCAGATACTGCCAGGCAAGTCACATAAGAATCCCCGTTCGGATATTCCTGCACTGCGCTGCCATGGTCTCACATTCTTGCGGACATGGACCATGTTTTGATTGCTGGCACAATGGCAGGACCCAACCCATCAGCGTCCTCTCGGCTGAATCCGTTCAACAAGGCCATGGCGTCACCCCCCGCCCTCTGGCTTTCTTAGCCTTCTGGGGCACACCCTATGCTCCAACCACCAATCTTGCGACGAGGCAGCCAAATTCTGAGCTTTGGCCATCCAAACTGTGTCAAGCTGATGAGTTGTCAATCACCGGGCTCTCCTTTGCATGCTCCAACTCTCCAACAAAATACCCTGAAACATCCCTTCGCAGCCTCCGGCAATCTAGTGCGACAATAAACATCTGATTGAAAAGCAAGTGATGGTCCTTTCCAAACTGGTGAGTTGATCTGCCACAAGAGAAAACACTTCAGAAGGCATCAACACTGACGGTCCAAGAACAACCTGAGGAAGCCACGAAGAAGCACTTCACCAGCCTCCATAACAGCCAGCACAGCCGTCGCTCAACATCTGCCAGGGCTGCCAGGGGATACTTAACCCCTGCACTCCAATAGAAAATTTGCCAACAGCAGTGGGAACTCAGACGATGCAATGTCCAGCCATCAAGCAAGACTGAAGCTCACTAAGCTCCGTTTGTCCCAAAGCATCCTTGCACTGTCTCGCCAACTACTGGTACACTATCATACACTGGCCCGTCCATCTTCTGCAGGAACGGCCCAGAATGAAGGCTACAAAAGAGCTATATACAGCCCCACTTGGAAAGAAACAGGCCATGACATCGCCGGAGCTCTGGCCCAAGGCTCAGCTGATCTCAGCTGTCACGGCAGGCGCAACACTTGGAGCTGGGTGCAGCTGCAGCTGGGTGCAGCTGGGTGCAGCTTTCAACTGAGGCTTTCCTGGCTGCAGCATTGCAGCATCGCAGCGGGGCGGGGCGAGGCTCCAACTGAACCGCTGTGGAGAATCCAACTCATCCGACCATCAGACCGTTCCCTGCACGAACTCCACTGGCCATCTCATCACCCTATTGGCCTTAGGACAACAGCGTGACCAACAGCCGATGCCTGTCATGTTCGTTTCAGTGGCGCTCGCATGTGGATTCTGCGGCGCATTATTGCTTTCTTTGCATCAAGCACCTTTTTTCCCTGACCTTTGGCCTTGACCTTGCAATCCAACCGACTTGTCTGGAGGGAAAGCAAGAGGTAGAGTTTTCACATCCCCTATTGGTAGCTTCTGGAACCCCTAACCTTTCCCGAAAGCCGTTACCAGCTCCGTTCAGGGACAAAAACCTTTGCTGTTTGGCCGTCACTGTGGTTTAAGTTCCCAAAAACCGTTGGAGAAACACAATCTGAAAATGTCAAGGGATGCCCCAGAACAGGTATCTCTTTCGAAACTGGTGATAATATTTCCAAACTGCCTCAATTGGCCGACACGTCATCTTTGTCCGTCTTCTTCTCCCATCAGCCATCAGCCTGGACAATTTCAATGTGAGTTCAGCCAAATGTCCGGCCGTTGAACAACTCAATTTGTTACTCTGTTTGGTGTCTCACTCTCGCACTAAAAATGGGAAGAATGGGAAGAATGCGACGGCCCTCCACATTCTACCCTTTCCCCAGCATATCTCAAGGACTTCATCGCTGTCACAAAAAGAATGGCCAGGCGTGTCCGTTGGCGGGGCGCAAACTCCGGCAGCAATGGGGGCATTGCACTTCCAGATCTTCTCTCTCTGACTGATCCAAGCTATCAAGATTCAGCATCTAACACGGGTCGAAGAAAACTGCGTCAAGTCTCACAGAAAAATGGACCAGAAATGGACCAGAAATGGACCAGTTGATAGAAAACTCCGTCACGATCTGTGCGTCGCCAAATCACCAAGTTCGAATTTCTCAGACCTCCTACAGGTCACCGCCGGGTTGGGAGGTCGGGATCGGCAGATGCACCGGATGGCAACCTCCCAGCCTGGGGCGTTCCCCGCGCCTGCCGCCCCAGCAGTGCATCTTCTGCAGCTCTCATTGCTTCCTCCCGGCTCGTGAAGCCGACTTTCCTACCTGGGCCAAGGTGGAGATCCTGGAGTCTCGGGGAAATGCTATGCTTAGATGCAACATGATAACATGATGCATCTTTCCAAGCATACATGTCTTTACACATCACACGTATATGCAAATGTTTGTATAGATGCATGTATGTACAATGCTTGTGGTTCCTCGAGGCACAAGCCGTGTGTTCCCCATTTTGGTTTCCACCGTGGGGGCGGAGGGGTCAAAGAGTTCGTTGGATGCTGCTTCCCGTACGAATGCTATGCCGGAAATGTTCTTGCCAGAAAAGTTGCTGCTGTTCCTGCTTCTTGGCTTTTGTGGCATAAAGAGCTTGAAGAGGCGTCTTTTGTGGTCCGCTCTTGAATTTTAGGCTTCTTATGGCTTCTTTGTTACCCTCCTCTTTTTTACTGCTGTTTTGCTTCGAAGCTTGGGGAGTCTGCTCTTGCTTCTTGCCCACTTTTCTCCTGTTGCTATTTTCTGAGAAGTGATAGATTACATACAGAATGGCGCGGCATTGGTTTTCTGACAAAGATATGCACGCACACACACACACAGAGACATTATGTATATATATATACTGTATGTTTTTATATGTGCATATACACATACATACGTATGTATGTAGGTATATACTGACAAATGCCTCTGCTGTATGAGTTCACATACTCTAAGCCAAAAGATAATCTCACAAAGACTCCACCCCTATGATAGGACATATACACTGACAAACGTAAACAACACAAATTCTGAAACAATGAAATGACCTTGCTGTTAGATGGAATGGGCAAAACTATGTTTGGCAGGCTTCCAACGAGATTCACAATATGTTGCAAAGCACATGGGGTTGTCAAGGAACCCTGACTTCAATTGCGACATATCCTATGGTAATTTAACGTAGGAATGAAAAATGGTCGTGCTTATGAGGTAAATCATCTATAAATAGGTAATTTTCCATAATTAGCCATGTTCAAATCACCGGATGGTATCATCCCACAAGACAACCACAAAGAAAGAGAAACCTTGATTTGACTTGCATGCACTGTGCCGAAATTAATTCTGCGCCAAAATATCCTCAAAACAACCTACAAAGAGAGCCAAAAGCACTGTGACACACAGTGAGGAACTGGGTGTCTATGAAAATGCGAGGAAGAGAGAAAATAAGTGGCCGTGGAACCTCAAGCCTTTACTCCGTATCTTCACAGATGTATATGTATGACTAGATGTAAGTAGATGTGCATATGCACGTGTTCAAATGTATGTAGATGCATGTAAATGTATGCATTCAGAATGCACACGTGTATCCATGCATACATGTATGCATGTAGTTGTACTTAGGTAATCTGGGCATATCGGTGGCTTTTTTATGTAAGGGATTAGGTAGCTATTGGGTAGCTATTGGGTCCCGACCAAGGCCCCAAGGCCGCTTCCAGGCTGAGGCGAGAACAAGTCTCCGAGATAAAGCCCCAAGGCCGGTGGCGGGTGCCTCGCTGGAAACGAGTGATGGTAACCTGCGGAGCCGCTGTAGCCAGGCCATGTGGGCCATGTGGGAGCTACTGTAAAAATGTCATGATGTGCATGTTGAGCATGGTCTACTTTTTTGTTTCTTGAGTTTTTCACTTTATTAATTTATAGAATCTAGTTGCCTATTTGCTTGTACATGTCTCTGTGTGTGTGTTTGTGGGCTACGGGTCAAAGCCCTGGTACTCTAATGAATATCAAATTAGCTGGCGAATGGACGTTCATTCCTCCAAGTATGGTTGCAGGTACATAATTAAACATCCCCTATATGATATATGCATAAATAATATATCGACATAATTGTTTGTCCACTGTCGCATGTTTGCATGCATTGGATTATCTCTATAGATGTATGCATGTATGTGCGTGTGGAGATATAAATATGTGTGTGCGTGTGCGCGCGTGTAAAAACTAGCATATACTATATACATCTAAATATAATCTATATACATAAATTGATGTGCGTCGATATCATGTGTCTGCGCATGTGCGGCTCAGGTCTGGAGTTTGTTGATAAATGCTTCTAATGGTGGATCATAGAGATGAACTGCTGGACCCAGCATTGCTCGGAATTCACACTGGCGGACTCCAACTTGGCACCAGGGAGCCATAGAACCATCCACTGCAAGTTTCCTTGGAGCCTGTACAAATCCGATCACTGAATCACGTTCTGCTCCACGGTACTCCTGGCAGGGCAAGGCATGATACAATTTAACCCTCCCTGGGTGGAAAAACTCCTTGGTAGCCAATGGGTTCCAGATCAGCCACAGATGGTGAATTGTCTTGCCAGTTCAATCCCAAGGAGAACTGCAGCTTCAAGGCAACTTTGAAATCACTGGGCTGCAAGGCGTGGAAATTACCAGAACTTGCCAGCCGGGTCGGAGCTAGCAGCGGAGTTGCTGGTTGCTGCTGGTGGCTGGTGATGCAACTGGTTGCCGCCAGGGGGCAGCCATGGAGCTACTGGATGGAGCCACCGAGGTGTTTCCATCGCGCGCACTTCTCCCATCGCCACGGGCGTCGCCCCGGGCGTCGCCGCGGGCGCTGTGTTCGCCCTGATCTCCCATCTGAGGCCTCACAGGGAGGTGTCCAACCAAGGGAATCAATCATAGGGGAAACTTATGAAAATCTTCAGATAATCTTCAGTATGCAGGGCAAGTGGTTTTCCAGCAATTGAGGGCCCAGGTGCGGAGATGGGGACGGCGACGGTGGCAAGGATGGCGCCGGCGAGGGTGCCGGCGAAGGCGCTGGCGACTCGGCGGCGGCCTTGGGGGCAGGGATAACACATACAGATTTTGGTTGTTCATTTCTAAAAATCAGGTGATATGTTGATTAAATGTGATCAATATAGAGAGGCTCCGGATTTTTGAGAGGTTAAACAAAGGTTGTTTGGATACAATTTCCCAGCGATGACTCTGGTGATTGGTACCAGCTAAGACCAACAATACTAACCATATAATGCTGGAAACACAACCACCGTGGATGCAACCAACAATTTATAGGCCAACGCGAAATTGCTCAACTATCAACAAAGGATAAAATCTCCCTAAAAATCGAGGATGTTCGCTTGACAATTGATGGGTTCGGTTCTTTCACGGCTTGTACCAGGCTCCACCTGTGCGAAGCGCCACACAGATGCAAAGCGCGGGGCACAAGAAATCCATTTGATGCCTCGGTTCGCCCAACAAGGAAGCATGTTGTCACATGTGAAGTAAAATGAAGTATATAAATAGGCAGAGCGTGGCCACCCAAAAAAGCGCGAGTCAATCCGCGCGTCCCAGTAAAGTGGAACCCGGCTAGACAAAGGTGGGCACAGCAAAACAAGACAGACCACAAAGTAGAAGAGTAGAAGTTAGAAAATCGGTACGCATTCTCAAAAGAAGTATGAAAATCCTCTGACTGCAAAACCAGACTGGTTCCTGGCCCCGAAGAAGGGATCGTCGGATATTAGGGTTGCCTTTGCTTTGAGGGCAAAAGACCCGAAATACGACATAGATTCATGACTTAAATATCATCCAATTTAGCCAAAGGAAATTGATTTTTTAAAAAAATGCCTATGGAAAACCATACGTATGTTCAATATATTCATAGCATCAGTAGATCGATAGATCGATGGCCAAGCTACGCCCTGCAGGTGCCGCAGCTCCCGCAGGTGCGGGGGCAGCTTCCGACTGGCGCGGTTGCGGATAACATTTTGGAACCCAAAATCCGTCAATTCATGAGGATCTAACCAACGTAAATGGGGATATAACATGATATAAACGATACAACATGATTTTTTTGTACATAGGGATGCGGCCCAAAATCCATCATTGGATAGTTTTGCTCGTTAATACTGGCTTTATGCCCAAAATATCCCAAATGACCGATTTGCAAGATCCAGTGGTAACCTAATTGACATCCCTGAAAATTCGCCATTGGATGTCCGTAGTCAGTAGGATCTTCAGAATGATCCAGTAGGTGAACCATTGTGAGTCCACCCAAAACAGGTCCCAATAGGCCCACCTTTTCGGCTGCTGGAGAATCCCGATCTGCCTCCCTTAGCAAGATCAACCAGGAGACCAATCCGTCAGTTGCAAAGGAGATATCACCAGTGGAAAAAGGATTGTATGATATGATTTAGGGTACATAGTGAACAGGTATAAGCATATGACTCATATGACATCATCTGACTATATAGTATAAACATGTATAAACCACTATTTCATTTAACGAACACGAACGGAGATATGATATAACCCACCAACAAAGAGAGGAAAGCAAGTAGCAAGCCTTCATTTCATGGGGATTTATAGCTGACAAACAGAACCAGAAAGGATTGCCGCCAAGTGGCGTAACTGCAGTAGCATTAGTTACCGCCTCGGCTCATGAGCGGTACTCCTTTGGAAAATGTTGTCTCCAGGGTGCTTAGATTCTTAGACAGTTCGTAGCTACTGTATGTGGTGGACCCCCCAACCAATGCCATCTCCTTATAACTGGATTCTGACATGTTTTGATCATTCCTAAAGTTCCTTAAAGTCCGGTTCCTGATCCTTAAAGTGTTCCTGACTAAGATGACAAGGCCGAGAAACATCATCGGAATCCTGCACAGTTGCGCGCTTCTCCTTGTCCATCGGACGCTTCCCTGCCGGGGCCATGGGGTCAGCTTCCACCCGTCTCCACCTGGGGCTGTAAGGCCCTGGGGCCCTGGGGGGCCCTGCCTGGGTTCATCAACGGCGCGCGACCAAAGGCCACAGTGGGAGGAGCTGGCACACCCACATGCGACAACACTTGCTGAGCTTCTGCTGAGGCCGCCTGCAAGTTCGCTTGCAATAAGTGGGCCAGGCGATGCTTGTGATGTCGATACCGAAAAATTTGGAACACACTGAGTGGGCCAGTTTGGTATACCATCTATCTTCGTTTGCCTGACCTAACCTAACTGGATTTCAATTGAGGGTACTGCTCTATCCAAACTCCCAACATCACTTCCCCGAACGAACACATTCAGGCGGGACGCCACTGATTGATCCAGTATCCAAAATGTGCTAGCCACCCCCCGGTGGCTGCTCCCAGTGTAGCTGGGGGCTACTGCAAGTTTTCTCTTCATGAAACTCTTGGACCAAATGCTCATCCAAGTCGCATCTGCGTGTAGCCAAGACAGCACCTTGGCTCATTGGATCCGCGAATGGAGAAGCACAGAAGTTTGTCGATCCATGTCCCATGGAGAAACCACCCAACAACCGACCGATTTCGGGTGATGACGACGTCACATGGATCGGCATGTATAGAAGGACCTGAATATCCACATCCAGTTGGAAAAAGCCTACCAGTACCAAGAAATGAATGCCAGGTACAGTACATATCCAGTACATTACAGTACAATATACATAGGAAACCACGATCTCACATGGAAGCCTAAGGTCGGCAAAAAGCCGCCCAACGAAGGGATCTTGACATGCCAAGCATGTGGGAGATCGTGGAGATGGAAAGACCGGACCAACAACCTCCCAAAAACGATTTGTAGACCCCTACTTATGAACACCAAAACCTTCCTTTGCAACAATCCGCGTCATCAAAGGAATCCAGTGATCAACCAGTCGTCAAACGTAGATTGTATGGCAAGCAATCAGTTGATTGTGGCACACCCAGTGCAAGTTCAACCTTTAAACCTGATCCAACTCGTCACACACAAGATGAAGCTTCTGATGTGTCACGCAGGATGAGATGCCACTGTGAGGAGTCTCACAGCTCATTCTGGTTCACTCCGACAAGTTCTAGCTCTTGCTATCTTATGATCTTCAACAACAATCGTAAGGTGACTTGGATCAAGACTTTGAGTAGGTTTGGAGTTTAACCTGCTCAGCCACCTTCCATCCCCCGCATTCCCCCGCTGCCCCGGCTGACGCCAAGCAACATTTCCCCAGCCGGGTGCGTTGGCGGCGGATTGCACAGGGCTCCCATGGCTGCTGCCACCTGGAATCACCATCTTTGTTGCATCGCTGGGCTAAGGCCCGGATTCCTAACATTCGGATGGGAATTGTTGGAAACATCAACACCACAGCTATGCAAATCACCATTTTTACCTCAATCATCGAACTAAATGCGCCATGTTCCAATATGTTTCCTGGAGGGCTGGAGGCTAGATCCAGCTAGATCCAGGTAGATCCAGCTGGTCCACTCTCCAGCCTTCGGCCGGGATCTTGGCTGCGCAGGACGTGGCCGGGGCTTCCGGGAAGGCAGCCAGGAAGCTGGGGCCCATGGGGCCCAGCGGGGCAGGGCCTCAGCGCTGATGAACTGGTGGAATTTACATGGCTCTGGAGGGAAAATTTGGAAGAAACCAATGGTTTCAATGTTCAACTTTGATTTTTGGGGGGTTCCTATCATTCTTCCCTTCAACCAATTCTGGGAGATATTCACCAACAAGCCATGGGGGAAGTTCCTCGCATTTTGCCCAGAAAAATGTGGAGACTTCGACCAACGCAAAGGTGCCAGAACCGGGGGTCATTGTCAAAACAGAATGGGAGACCTCATCGGAAACCACCACATGCAATAGTGTCTATCATTGGACAGCGGCGAACAAGCATTTTCCCACTGCCATCTGCCTGCAGTGGTCCAACTTGCTGAACAACTATATAATGTGTCCAAATCCGACAGGCAAACATGCCAACTGCAGCTTGAGGTGAGCTGATTACTGTAGCCTGCTGGGGTGCTCCCCTGACCAGAAACACCACAAGGTGATGCACCCGCATACTATCCACACATGCCGAAGAGAATACATCGACCCAAGGCACCGATTTCATCATCTGGAAGATCCTGATGAAGCGTTACGTACAACTTGCTCCCAAGGGGCCCTCCCCAAATTCAAGACACAGTTTCACAACCCCATGCATGGCAGGCTCTCTCTCTCTCTCTCCCTCCCCCCGACAAAAGTGGATAAGAAAATGTCATATTCCTATTCGAGCCACATCAAAAACGAATACGAACTTGCGGAAGCTCTGAGACAGCCAGAAACTGGGCCAAAATGGGCCCAGCAAATTTGATACAAATTTGTGGTCAGGAGAACTCTACCTCCACATAGCACCAGATCTTATTCCCAGGCTCCGGTCGATCCTCAGCATCACCAGGTTCCTCATTCTCTCCAGAGGTGGCCCAAATGGCGCTGAGCCAGGGATGCTCGATGACATCATCCAAGCTCAGTCGATGTTCCGGCTCATGTTTCAACAAGCCCAGAAGCAGCTCCTGAGCCTGCGCCGCTTGCGCCCAAGTGCGCCCAAAACACTGCAGATTACCGTAGCAAAGGAGGGTCTGGGTCATTTTTTTGCGTGAAAAAGATTGATGGTTTTATTCATTCATGATTCATGATATAAATTTTGTTTTATTTATGCGCACATATGTATATATATATATATGTATGTATGTATGTATACATGTGTATCATATATGTGGATAGTATCTTAGTGTTAAGTATTAACACACACACACAGATATATATATATATATATTATATACATGTGTATGGTTATCGGTTATTGCGTTATCAATATCTCATAACTCCAGCCTCCTTGCTGACACGCTGCCAGGCCTCAGGCCCATCGACTTGGGAGCCCATCAAAACATGATCCCTTTGACCTTGAACAAAACCAACCTGTTTGGTGGATTTTGATGGGGGGTGTCAACAGTGTTGGAAGGAAAAAAAACTCAGAATTTGTTTTGAGATAAAATTCCCCTGCTCCACTTGATCTTGGCTCTTTTTTCCCACTCGAAGTGACGTCCAAATGTTTCCAAGACATGTGGCGCCGCGAAAAAGTGGGAATGCCGGTGATGGAGGGGTTGCTGTGATGAAATGTCCATGGTATTTCCGGGTTATTGTTATTCTCATTAGAACGCAAGGTTGGAAGCCTGCCAGGTATCCTGCTTGGAGATGTCTTGAGATCCTCACCGCTCCGCGAAGGGTAAGTTCGTTCACCTCTTCACCTGCAGGGAACATCCATCATTATGGGGACAAGGCACGTATTGAGATGAAAGCTACGCACCCCTCATGCCATCTTGCGAAGCATCTAAAGATATATCATATTTATATATATATGACAATATCTCATAATATGATATAATATGGGGATGTCTTAACATGGGGGGATCCCCAAAACCATATAATTAGGCCATATAGGGTTTTAATACTAACAGTACTAACATCTGAATATCTGACATCGACATTCTCCATCTCCCGACTTTCCAGTCCGGCCTTCTTGAGGGTGGGAGCCTGCCAGCATCACGTACCTCAGAGAGCCATGGTTAGGTTATCAACAGTTCATATCCCAAAGTCAGGGTGATGCTGGTGGTCTCTGTATGTCTCTGTATGTCTCTGTAACCCCCAAAAAGGACGCCTTAGTGCCGTAGTGCCTTAGTGTCGGAGAAGCTACCTTTGCAAAATCACACCAGACCTACTGTAATTCCCAAGAGAAAGTGGGCCAAAAGAACAACGACATTTTTTTCCACGCACCTTTTTGAGCTGCGTGGCTTTGGTGAAACAAACTGTAGGACTGGCAGAACTTTCAGTCATCACATCTGTCGAAGTGGATGACGACGTGCTCGAGGTGGCACTTTGTGAGATCAGAAGCTAACAACCAAATATCACGGGCTGGACTTACAGGACAAATTACAGGAAACCCACCGGATTTTCCTTCAAACTTAAACAAATTCTGGCATAGCAAAACTTGGAACATGACGATGGATCACTCACCCTGCCACAGGAGCTCACGCTCAACATGCTCAAACCCATTGTTTCGAGCACTAGAAATCTTGGGCATCTCCCAATGGCCGTGAACCTTGGGACCTGTGCGGGAGAAGTCCCCACATCTAAGAACATCCCATGCACATGCCACATTGGGCACGTACCTCCCGCAGCAATGGATATGATGTGAATATGATTTGATCTGGCAAGGGAGCCCTCAAAGAAGAACCAAACATAGTGTGAAATTCCAGAAAATGTATAACAGTATAACTGTATAACTTACTATAACAATTCAATGAAGTCAAGAGCTACTGTACTCAAACCCCACCATTGCTGCAGTTGCTGCACGTCACGTTTCACCATTGCGAACGCATCTGGGAGACCTCCAGATCCCTTCCCTGCCTTCCCTCCTTTCCGGGGCTTTATTCTAAAATGCGCATTGTGCGGCTTGGGCATCTTTAATGCGAATCAGTAAAGCCTCCACCTTTGGCCAGAGATGCTTCACCAGTTTGTTGTTCTTCGCCGGCTCGCCATTCTTCTGGATGCCACAGGTTTCCAGTGCTGCATCAATGGTGTCTGCCATCAGCAGGGCGTTGGAGTTGATGGTGGCCAAACTGGTCAGCAACAACACCAGGTTCGTGGCACATTCCTCACTGGCCCAGGTAGCCAGTGCCAGCTCCTCCAGTAGCACTGGAATCACATGGGGACCCACCTTGAGCTTATTTTGTCCCAGCAAACACAGCTGCCGCAGAGCAAAGAGCAGCTTGGATTTGAGTTTGGTGTTGGGTTGGGCCGCGTCGTTGACCCATAGCAGGCAGGCAACCACTGGAAAACTCTCGGAGATCAGACTTCTTGTCTCAGAATCATTGCATAGCTGCCCCAAAACACTCGCCACCTCTGCCAGGATGCGTTGCTTCCGCAGGTTTTGGTAAGACGAGGTGAGAATGTCAACCAGGAGCGGCACTCCACCCTCCTTCACCACAATGAATCGATGGTGAGGAGTCTTGGTCAGATTCACCAACAAGTACAAGGTGTACAAGGTCAGTTCATCATGTTTCACCTTCAACTGCTTGACACATAGGCTCAACACTCCGTGAGACACCAGCAGTTGCTTCATGTTCTTCCGGCCACACGACAGATTCACCAAAGATGCGGTGGCATAGGACATGAGAATGTGGTTGGAGCCGCTCATCACCTTGACCAGTGCTGGAACCAGCTGCCTCACGGCTTTTTCAAATTTCTCCTCCTCCTCTTCGTGCACCTGACTGCCAACCATGTCCAAAATGTGGCGGCAAACCATGGTTCGCAAGCCCAATCCGACCGTCTCGTTGGTCAGCAGCTGAGCCAGGAGATCTGCATAGTCTGCCCCAGCACCAGGGGGACGTTTCTTCAGCTCGTTCTCCACAAAACCCTCGGACAACAAATGCCTCATGATCACATCATTGAAAGAGAATCTGGTGAAGTTGTCAGGATCCTTCGCAAGCGCAGTTAGGGTGATGCTCTTTTCCTTCTCCAAGAAGTAGTTGATCTTCCAATCATCGCGATGCTTCACATGCAGTAGAAAATCAATCACAGCATTCATCGAACTGTCCATTTCCGATGAAAGCCTGCTGAGGGATTGGAGCAACAAGGGAAAAGTGAAGCGCTCACCCAAAATGCCACCATCAACACCTGGGCAAAAACAATGCCGGTGCCACAAGGGTCTCACCTTTCAGTGTGTTTCAGGTATGTGGAACAAATACAGTAGTGGATGATTACACCTTTGTGACAAAATGTTGATGTCCTGACCTCACGTTCACTTCTAGGAACATCACCTTGAACTTTCCTTATCATGATGCAATCACAGATTCAGGTGTTCCATGGTGTTCCCCTGACCTGGTCCAACACGTCACATTTGTTTGGTGACAGCGAAACATCCTTTCGGGATCTTTTGGGGTCTTTCAGGACAGGATGGATCATCGATCATCACCAGAAGAGTCGTCTCCAAGTATTGGATGAGAAAACGTAAACTAACACGCAGTCTATTTCATCTGCTAACCTGATGCGTATGTAACTAGAGCCTCCATATTTGCACACCAATTTGCACAAATTCATGTTCTTGCACAAATTCATGTTCGTGCAAATGCGTACATGAACCATGCACATATGCATGCAATGCGTAATCATATGATATCATACATGTATATCATATCTATTACAATATCATCAATCATCTTTCATATCTTTCCATATCTGTCCGTTGCAGGAGTTCCACCTTTTGCCCCACCCTGTTTGTTCGTTGTGCCGGTGGCACAATATGCGAAGTACCGCGCGATGCGCGCGGCCCAGGCGTTGCGGCGCTCCACGCGGTCGCTGCTGCTCTGCAGCAAACTCTCGGCCTCCGAGATCAACTCCTGCGGCACCTGCAACGGGTCCGACATCTCCGCCACGTCTTTGAAGATCTCGGCGTGTTCGATGGATTCATCCCACAAGGCACCTGGGGGAGAAGATGGGAGAAACACATGGGATATACACATGGGATAACACCAGGGATAACATGGGATGGGATGTTGAGGACATTTTTGGGCCAATGGAGTTTGAATTCCAGAGGTTTCCTATCCACAAAACTTGGGGGTGCTGCCACTTTTGGAAAAATGGGAGGGTGCCAAACCAGGTCATGTTCAGGGCACACCAGTCTGAAACTCATCCGAAAAAAGGACGTCGATATGGCTGATATGGATTTATATGGTAACACAACATATCAGACATATCACAAAATAGAGCGCCGAAGCACTTTCGTTCACCAAAATCTTCACGATGGACTTCACAAATCGCACTGCAACACGGCGATGAACGGGAACCATTCCCAGCTGCCCCTCGGCCCAACGGTATCCATCTTCCGTGAAGTGCAAGGTGTCCAACCGCGCCTGCACGGGGCGCTTGTAAATGCCCACATTTTCATAGACCGAAGTGAGGGAGTCTGCGATGCACTGGCACTCGTCCAGGATCACCTTGTGCTTGGTCATGACTCACCGCGGAAAGAACTACAGGTTTTTGAGTGGTGTCCGATATCAAAACACGAGATCATTAGAGGAACATCAAGGTCCAACTCGCCAGAAGGCTTCCTCCAAAAATGTTTGAATATGTGTGAATAATTTTGAATCATTTTGAATCCCTCACCTCACAGGAGTCCTTGGTCATACCTTGTGCAGGGCAGCGAACCACCACGGCAATGTCCTGGCAGGTGCTGCAGAGAGGTGGAATATATTGGCGCCGGAAGAGGACGCAGGCGAAGACGTATTCCTTGGAGCGCACGAAGAACTCCCAGCCGTCCCAGGCGGCGATGTCATCCTGTAGGCCCAGCAGTTATTTAAACAAAAAACATGGCATCAATGGCATCCAAAAGAAAACTCACCTTCCCCATCGATCCGAAAAAGATGGGAGAAGAAAGGGAATAAACAAGAAACTATAAGAAATTCCACTCCAGGCATCTGTTCGATTCATCTTCTTGAGATATGGGCCGGAGACAACCACATAGAACTGGTCCAAGTTCTCCGTTAAGCTCCTCTGGTACTCCATGGCCACCGTTCGGAGGTCATCCATGCCGTCCCGAGATTTTTCCAAATCCATGATGAGCTGGGCATTGTTCACCTGGATGAGAACACGAACACCAGGTGGTACCACAACTGGTTGAGCCTTGTAATTCACTTCCCAACCCTCATCATTCTGGAAGGCTCCATCTTTCAATCCCGAAGTGCTTTTGAAGCCCTTTCGCAGCCAGAAGCTGTAGCCTCTAAAGCTGTGCTCATCCGTGTAACCACGGAAAGGCTCCACTTTGATCAAATCGCTTTGGGTCATGTTGCTCTTGGCCATCTGCTCCCCCATGGCTGACTTCACTATCTCCAACTTCTTGACCTCGAAGCGGCGAAACATCACTTCGGCCTGCCAGCATAGGGCCAATTTTTGGATCAGCAACTCCCGGTGAGCACTGGCAATCAGAATCCGGGTGCCACTCCAACTGGATCCTTGAGATGGTTGAACTTCCAGCAAAATGAAGCGTTTGGTGGAGCTGTCAATCACCGCGCGCTCAATGTCCAGGTAGGAGAGCCTCTCTCTGCCTTCAATCAAGTGATTCATTTCGCGATTCACGAAATAGACGAAGTGCTTGGAGATGCAGATGTTTCCTCGACCATATTCCTTATCATCAAAGACGAGGTTTGTGACGCGCTCGAACATCTGCAAGGAGTCTTTGCAAATGGACGCCAGCACATCCAGAATCACTGGATCGGACGACATCTTCGCTACAAACGGATGGCCCTTGGTTTGTTGATGATTTGTTGGGATTTGATATGATTGCCCAATAATTTGCCGATAATTTGTTGGGAAAATTTGTTTGTTGGTAATGTCTCAATGACCGTTGGGTTTTTGGCCACAGCGCCATGTGTTGCCTCTTCTCATGTTGAGCCCGGCATGTCTCGGATCTTTGAGATTGCCTGAGGCGTTAAAAGTTGGCCCCCCAAACAAAGGGAGAAAGAAAACCACCTTGGCTTGTTGGTTTAGAAAAGGTGGTTTAAGGGGCTGCACATTTTCGGGCGTGTGTTCCAACAAGCCAAAAGTTGAGCCGGTTTTCCATAAAGATCTAACATCTAACCATTGTGAACCCTGGACTGAGCTTTTCACAACGTCACGCCCAAGGCAAACACATCCACCTGGAATCCGAGCCATCGTTCTCGGGTCACTGCCAAGGAAACATCTGCCCAAAGAACCCGGATCTTTGTCAAATATGTTATGCACCCTGCACCCTGCTTGCCACTTCAAACTGGCTGGCAATTTTGGGTGTATGTCCATCCTTTCAATCAGACTTAAGACTTAAGTGATTGAAAACTCTCGAGTTCCGAGTTCAAACTTTATTCATCAAATAATCCCATAACAATCAATTCAAGTATGTTGATGTCAAAAAATGAAAATCCTGGAGGTTTTGACACGGCCTTGGCCGCATCATAGTTCTCCTGTCCCGGCAACGTATGCCGCGTCTCCGGCGCCCTGCAAATGAGCGATTGCTTTTTGATTATGAATCATGATATAATCATGATAATATTTAGTTTCCTGTAGTCTTTCTGTCAAAAATCACGGCCATGGCGCCTGTAGTACTTGGTTCCCAGAAAGGGAGTTGAAGTGCCCGAGGAACATCCACTGATGTCCTGACAATTCTCAGCTAGTGATTCTAGCGGCTTCCAGTCAGAAGCTTCCAGCATCTTGTGGCTCTTCCATCACTGGCAGCTGCAAACCACAGAAGCAACCGCAAAGCTACCCTCTGGTAATTTGACTTCGCTAAGGTCATTTAAATTTAAAGTCACCATGTTGAATACGTAAATCATGACAAGTCATCAAACTAAAATGGGCCACGTTCTACTTTGCAAAGTGTAAAAATCCCAGGGGAAACCCATTCCAAATCAGTGATCTACCGATCAGCCTATCCCGGAGCAGCTCCTTGCTGAGGCCGAAATCCACCAGCTTCACCACATCAGGTTGTCCAGGTCGCAGCGGACTGGCCAGCAGGATGTTGTGCGGTTTGAAGTCCTTGTGCCGATGGATCCACCACGCGCCAACGACAAAGGGAAAAAAAATGGGTGTAGATGAGCCGCCGTCAAAATCAAGTGATTACGCCTGGTGCAACTGTGTCTATATATATATATATGTGTGTGTGTGTATGCATGTATGTTATGTAATGTAATGTAATGTAATGTAAATGTAATGTAATGTCATGTAAATGTCATGTCATGTAATGTAATGTAATGTCATGTAAATGTAATGTCATGTCATGTCATGTCATGTAAATGTCATGTCATGTAATGTAATGTAATGTCATGTCATGTAAATGTAATGTAATGTAATGTCATGTCATGTAAGTGTAATGTAATGTAATGTCATGTCATGTAAATGTAATGTAATGTCATGTCATGTCATGTAAGTGTAATGTAATGTCATGTCATGTAAATGTAATGTAATGTAATGTCATGTCATGTCATGTAAGTGTAGTGTAATGTAATGTCATGTCATGTCATGTAAATGTAATGTCATGTCATGTCATGTCATGTCATGTCATGTAAGTGTAATGTAATGTCATGCCATGTCATGTCATGTAAGTGTAATGTAATGTAATGTATGTATTAATGTAATGTAATGTAATGTAAGGTAAGGTAAGGTAAAGTAAGGATGTATGTATGTATGTATGCATGTATGTATGTATGTATGTAGGTAGGTAGGTATGTATGTTCGTATGTATGTATGTATGGCCGATTTGGTTCGCGACTTACGGCCGTTGGCCTTCCCCTGCTGTTCGAATGATTATGGAGGGGCAAAATCAGGCGGAAAGAGAATCAGTCTACGCAAAGGTGAAATTTGAAGACAGCAATCTGTACAAAACTCTACTAGTAAACAGGAATTTATGTACATGTATCGTTCTGCAGAGGAGTAATTGGCAAGTAACTAATTAGCGGCACTCCATCCTTTTGTCCTGCTTCTCTGGTTTAGTGATCGTGCTGGCTTGACCAAACTTTACATGTCCAGCACATAGAAAAAGAGAACCAGCATGGGCAAAGCAGTGGAGGTGAATATGGGGATGGCGGTGGGCCAGCTTGAGAGGAAGACAGGAAATGGTCAGTCATGCTGCTAAGTTTCAGCGGCACTCCATCCTTTTGTCCTGCTTCTCTGGTTTAGTGATCGTGCTGGCTTGACCAAACTTTACATGTCCACTTACCCCCACTGAGTACTGTGCCTTGCTTTATGCCCATGCTGGAAGAACCAATTCCACGTCGGTTCAGGGTACTGCCATTGGGAAAAGGCATTTGCCAGCTTCAAAACTTCTGGGAAAACACTCATCGCTTGGAGCACTTTCTGCTTTGACTCTTCTTCGATATCGTTGAGGTAAGTGCTGGTGGACACCTCTTGAAGATATACTTCCATCACCTTCATGGAAGCCCACCTGCCCCTTCTTCGTACTGTCTCAGCAGATTCGGTCAGTGCTATCAAGTGAGTCGCTCCTCCAGGTCTGAAACTTGAAAGCGTCATTGGTTTGACTTTGCTCTTTGTCGTAGTCGGAAGGCCAAGTCTTGACATGACCTTGTCAAGGCGCGACCTCAGAGTAGATGATGAGCCAGGCCAAAGCTTCTCATCCTTTCTAAGGTCACCAAGGCCAAGCCAACAAGTTTCGATCAGGTCAGGCGCCTCAACCTTTCCTGATTGGTGCCTCGCTGCACGAAATCTTGTCTTTGGCTCTCTGACTTTCAGCAAAATGTGGTCTATGCTATGCATTACGTCATGAGGAAAAACAAGGTCTGCCCTGGTAGCTGAGAGGATCTCCCCAATACGAAAGAGGCCCCCCCATGCTAGTGCAAAAACTCCTGCTTCGCGCCGCCATCCCCAGAGTAGACATGTTGACAGCAAGGCCAACAACAGCTGAAAAGGCATTGATTGGTGATGTTCAACAGGCTCGAAAGAACACCACATAAAAGCCAAATCCCACGCCTGACTAAGAGACCTTCGCAGCACTGGTCTCTTAGTCGAAACTGCATTTAGTGTCTCACTGTAATGGCTGTACGGCTTTCCCTGGTCAAAGAGATACCTACCATAGTTTGCCAAGAAAGAGTTGATCTTGTCAAGGTTTGGCGGGTTCTCCCAGATCAGATCGTCAAATGAGGTCCCAACCGTACGCAGCCAGCTACCAAGATTCACCAACAGTTGGGCGCGGAAAGATGATGTCTGCTCTGTCACTCTGCGTCCTTCTGGCAGTTCTATCCCAGCTCGAGACTTCTGACGTTGCAGATCGCCATGGCTAGGAACAGCTACAGCTACAGGAGTCCACCCAGTCAGTAAAATCCAAAAAGGAATACCCCAAAAAGCCCTAAGCCACTGTGGTCCCTCCCCGGGAAACCCAAGAGTCTGATCAAAATCCATGGAAGAGCGTGACCTAAGTCCAATGGTCGGAGGATACCTGCGACTTGCGGAAGGATCTGCGAAAAAGGAAATCCAAGACGGGACAAGCAGAATGGAGAGACGAATCCAATTTGAAGTCCAACGCCTGAGACCCTTAAGAGTGCAAAGCCACCTGACCTCCTGGGGAAGATGAGGAGCCAGACTGCGAGTTGGAGCTGGGATATCTGAGTCTCTCGTGGGATGGTCTGCTGGATTGAGACGTGTAGGTGTGAACCTACCAGCATGGTAAAGTCCATAGGCAATGCTGAGAGAGGATGCTCTTTTTAGAAGAGGGCGCAGAGCCAGAGAGGAAGTTCTGCCTCTATTGATGGAGCAGAGTGCAACATGGGAATCATAGAGGTTGACAAATCTGACATCTCCCCCTTGCTTGGCTTCCTCCTCAAAAACTCTCAAGCCTGACGCTACTTCAAGCAAGTTGATATGGCTTACACCCTTCCATCTCCATGCGCTAACTGTTTCCCACTCAAGGCTCGTAGAGAGATCGTTGGACATGATATCCTCAAGCCCTTTTTTCTCCTCAATGTCGCAATGAGCGTTGAGAGGCCTCAAATGATCCCTGAAAGCCTTTGCAAGCTCGATGGCCAAACCTTCAGTATATGTCGCGCTGGCCTTGGTGTAGCACCCCTCCACTCTGATGTGAACATGATTGCGTGGGCATTTCCTGTGAAGGTGGTCCACATCCATGTGCACATTCATGAAAGCAAACTCTTTCTGGTGGGGGCTACCAAAGGCGCAGGACGCAAGGATGACTTCCTGAGCACCTCTGGCTAACAGCCGCCGCCACATAGGGGTCCAGCGCAGCTTGGATCTTCTTGTAGTTTCTGTCATCCCGTACACGTCCATCCGCAATGCCACCGTCATCAACCCCAAGCTAGCAAAAGCAAGTTGGTTTCCATGGAGCACCCGAGGATGCAGCCTGTCAAAACCCAGTGGCATCAGGTAGCTTCTGAGGGCAGGGTGCGCAGCTGGGCTAAACGTTGTGCCAGGAGGAGCTGCCAAAAAACTTCTCAATCTATGATTCTCCATCATAAAGCAAAGCCAAGAGAATACTCTGCACTTCCTCAGGTCATACTGCAAACTCTCGGAAAGATCAACTATAGGGCCACAGACGACACCCAGTGCAACCAGATGCTTTGTGACTACGCCAGCTCCTCCAAAAACTTCAATAAACTCAAAGTACAAACCAATTGGCCTTTCCACCTCCTCAGCACTTTCCCCGTCTCCGGCCGGGAGGGGTTCATCAAAGAACTCAAAGGACTCATCGTGGTATGAGTGAAGGGCAGCTGTCTTTGACGGAAGGGCAACATTCTTCCCCTTCCTGTCAGCAGTACGCCAAAGGATCTTGGCAATCTCCTGCGGGACAGGTGCTCGCACAAATCCTCCCTTTCCAGTTGAGGCGTCTGACGCATAGATGCGATCCGCAAAAGGTGCTGCAATGTTGCTGGCAGCAAATGGAGCCAGTGTCGCTAAAATTAGGAGCTCTTCTGCGGCTTTCCTTGGCAACCTCCTCAACCTAGGCCTCAATGTATCCAACTCCTCTGGGGCGATGACTTGAAACAAATCGTTGACATGAGCCATCAAACATCGCCTGAACATGAGGGCCGATATCCATGATCCCATGAGAGTGGCATGCAAAGCATCAGAGGTGTATGGGAGGTTTGCAAGAGCAGCACTGATCATTGCTAGTCCCAGCCTCTTGTCAAGGGGAGCACCAATGCTAACAAGGCCTCTGTCCACAAGAACTGTAGAGGAGTTGATCTCAGCTCCAACCGCTCTGAAGACAAGCGCATCACGCACCTCTTTGTCATCTGATCCTGTGATCCCTTCTGATGCATAGACATCCTTCGCCTTGTCCAAAACCTGGCTTGACTTGCCCTGCTTCAGCAGTCTGTCACCAGAAGCCAAGATCCTATCTTCCACACTGACAATGAAGAAATCATCAATCACAAGGCCAGTCGCTGGATCATTGTGGATCACTGCTTCGTCAGACTGCAAGATGCTGAGAGGATCCCTACAGCCCTGCTCCTCCAGCAACCTCCCGTGAGAATCGCATGCAAATTCGACACCCAAATGGTCTCCTTGCAGCAAAGATTGAAAACACGCATAAACCTCTCCTTCGGAGGAGCCTTCAACCAGCAAGGGCTGAGGCTCGCCCAAAAAATCTCCCACATCTTCTCGTGCCTTCTTCTTGCTCTGCGGTGAAAAATGAAAAGCATACTCTTCATGTGCTCTTGTACCTACAAACCTTGCTGCATTGAACGCTGGAAATAGCTTATTGGTGGATGCCCTCTCAAATGGGACTGCAAACTGATGATAGAAGTCTCGACGGTCTGTGACAGACCCACAGAGGACTTTGGAGAACCTAGGGACCTCAAGCTGCAGCAAAGACGGGCCTGTGGGCAAGTTGCTTGATGGTCCTCCTCGCAGGATGCCCTCTACGTAATTAGCTCCACGCCGGTCTCCAATCTGCCTGTCTGCATCTATCCGCTTGTAGTTTCCAAAAATCCTGGTGTGAAGAAACTTCTGATCGTCTGCAGGACCATAACATTTGGGGATCAAAGTCAGCAGGTTGTTGGCATCCCAAA